CTACTGCTACTACTACTAATACTACTTCGACTAGTTCGGCTACTTCGACTACCATCACCACTCCCACTGCCACTCCCACGATATCACTGCCACTGCCACTACCCCGACGACGACTTCTATTACCACTTCGTTCCAGTACTTGCTTTGCAAGTATGCAGCGCTTTCTTAAGATTGAGTGGTCTGGTTGTTCTTTCCTGGATTCCTGGATTCCATTCTCTTGTGTTGCGCCCGATGCTATACCTGTTGCTTTCAACCTTGTGGGTTAAACGGTCCCCGCGCAGTACCGGTACCCTCTCCTCTCTAATGTCTTCTTTGTCAACGAGTCAACCATTCCGTACGTAAAGGCAAAGCTGCGACAAATCTGATTGTGTCCTCTCGTTGTCTAACTGATCTGTCCGACAGAGCAAATCCGCGCAGCATCTGTTTGGCTCCAGTTTTTGTTTTTTCTTGCGGTCTTCGTCGTTTCTCTTTTTCCGAAGTTGTCCACACTTCGAAGGCACCATTTTAGTATGGAAATTGTGATTGTTTCTTGATTGTCTTGCTATCAGACGGTGTCTTCAGATCGTCTAATTGGCGCCAAAATTTTGTTTCTGGCCATCGTCGTTGTTATTGTCAACAACACTACCAATGCTGGAGCTGTCCCTGTCCTTGTTCCATCTTGCGCGGAGTCTCAGGCCTGGAATAAGGAGAAGTGGACTGGACCATAACCATGGCCTTTGCGATTTCATTCGGGCAGTAGGTTGGCACGAATGTTTGTGATAGGCAGCTTCCAAGTCCGAAGTTAGCACAGGCAAGTCTAGGTATGTGACATTCCCGACACAGACCTCGATGGCTTTCATTACAGTCATTACACCCTGCAGATATGTGTCAAGGACTCTGTTGAGGAGCTGGGCGAGACAGGCTTCGGGGTTGGGACGAATCCTGAAGTCCAAGTCGGCGATGCAATCGAAAGCAGTCGTGTTCCAGCTTAGTTGTCTGACGATTGAGGGATCTCCTAGATCGTGCTGCTTCAGGCTGCTGCGGCCGCTGCGATGTGTGCACCGGCAAACTGCAAAATCGGAGGATCCTCGCAGAGGACAGCGACTTGGGTCGAAGCGGTGGCAGAGAGGCAACTTTGGGCCGTAGTTGAGGCACTTGCTGTTCCCGAATGGGAGTGCAGCTGCTGAGGCGAGGCGAAACTGGCGCTCCTAGTGCTTCATGCCGCAGACTTCGCACAGAGCCATGGTCACCAGACCGCATTTGAGCTGCCTGCGATTGCATGTCGCTGTCCGTACAGGGTGTTGGCTGTGAGCGAAGCTTGAGCTTCCCTCGAAGAGGTCAGGCCTTCAAGAAAGCCGCATCTTGGCAAGATTTGCCAGAGCAGAGCTTTGTGAGCAGGGTTTAGAAGTAATCCAAACCGTTTTGCTAGTTTCATGGGTAGCAGCGCTTTCCGAGCATCTCGAGGTGGTCGATATCGCTCACAAGGGCAGCGAGAAATTCAAGCACGTGAGCTCTAAAGGCATGCTGGACAGCATGGACAGTTTGAGGCCGAGGGTCGGCCTTGTCCAATAGGTAAAGTTGGAGATGTTGACAGTCTCTGTCGTGCTGTGCAGGCAAGCCCTGCCAGACCGGACGAAAAGACCCTCGGCAATGCAGTCAAAGCTCACGTTCTCTCTATGCATTCGAGCCTGCCAGTGCTTCAGCATCACATGCGACGACGCAAACTTTGAGCTGGCAGGAGCCGTCGAGCAGATGGTTGAGCGCTTACAAGAAAGCGGATACTTCCTCCCGTACTACAGGGGCATGGACCAGAAAAGCCAGTTGACCTGGGGCATTCAACTAAGCCGAGCAGGCGTGGAGCTTAGGGACAGCCGGGTGACCAGCCCGTAGGACCGTCTGCTTCAGGCGGTTCAGAACGCGGGCTGCGCATCACTCAAATCTAAGATGCCGTGCCGGATTCACTGTGGAAACATGGCCGGAAGCCAACAGCACAAACCGGCAGGCTTGGAAGCAATACAGCAGCACTACCAGATCCAGCTGGTGCCCAAAAGCGTATGCAGCTTGGAAGCTGAAGCTCCTAGTCACCGGTATAGGATGGCCGGATATTCCGGGATTTGTTGTGCTTTCGCCAGCCGATTGTTCTGGGCTTCGTAGTGTGGCCTTCGATGTTGGGCACTGGATTGCTGACAATTGCCAAATATTGCCACTAGGCCTTCTGTGCCCAAGGCGAGCGTCAGAGCAGAAGGACAATGTCTGGACATCGAAGCAGAAGGAAAGAAATCCAGGCCGCCTTCAAAGAGTATGCCGCTGTGGAGGACGACCCGGAGGCCGCTAAACAGATCCGATGGAGAGCTTCCATTGCGTGAGTCCATCTTGGCTGTTCCGACTTTCAGGCGGCCGAGAATGCCCGGCGCCACTTGGAGAAAGTTGTCGGACGGAAGTCATCCAGCCCTCCAGCATCGCCTGAGCCCGTGGATGCTCCCTGTCTGCGCATCCCTAATCTGTTCTGTCAAGTGACCGGTTGTGCTCTCCATGAGTCTCAGCACCGCCTGTTGGTACGGCCGCAGCTCCCTGAGGCTACTGAGCGACTCGAGCAGGAGATGAGGAGGAGGAGGTTCCCCGACTTGCAGATGCGCCATGAGACTCTAAGTTCCGGCGAGCATCGGTGCATCCTCGGCATACCCGGTGAAGGACGAAATTTCTGCGGCAAGCCATCATAGATTCTGGGTTGCAGCTGCACATCCCGTCAAAGCTTCTTGGTTGCACATCCGCCGGGTTCGGCCAATATCAGCAACGTAAACAGCTTTAGACTGCGAACAGGTCTTGTGGTTTACCAATTTTTCTGCAGGGCTCAGGGTCTTTTTCCTCATCCCGTGATTGCTCAACACCGACACTACATAACAAGCTTGCATGATTGGCATTCTACTACGGTAGGGCACATGTGTTTTGCACGCTATGCACTGCCCTCACAGCTCTGCGCCCCTTCGTTTGACTGCTGCCTCTGTCGAATTGCACGTGACGAACATGAAGATGAGGATCTCGATATTGTTGAGTCCAGACGACGATTATGAACTACACAACTACACTACACCAGTCTAACCGAAGCAGTTGACATCAAGCCTGAACTGCTGAGGTACCAGAAGATCTCCTTGAAGCATGCGCCGGAAATTGCCTGTAAGGAGATGGACATCCAGGTTGACCTAAGGCCAGATCACAGAACATTGCACGTGTTAGGAGGTTCATGGCTTTGGCATCTTTTCGAGTGTGTGCAAGGAAGAAGCCGTGGATCCTGAAATCCATGGGCAGTCAGTGGCCGTATGAGCACGTGAGATGCAATCTGAAGCTGGGCGAGGAGGCCCTGGAGTTGCCTGCAAGACTGTGAGTAGAGTGGTTAGTACTGTCTCCAAGCGGCGTAGGCATGGGTGTAGGTGCTGCTTGAGATTGAAGTTTGAAAGGCGACGATTCAAGCGGAGATTTATGTGGCGCCTCTGCAAAAGACCTTCGTCAGTAAAAAGCCATGTAAGCTGTGGTCAAACGCTGTTGTGAGCGCGATCTCCGCCGTTCCTGGCCACCACCTATGGCAGCGGTCCCCCTCCAGCTGTCCGTCAACTACTGCAGCCCGATCGCAGGGCGCTTGTTAAAGCGCTGTTTCATGTCTCACGCGCCTTCATCTACAGCAACATCATGTGTAACTACGAGCAGGCAGTATTGGCATAACGTTGCACTTGAGCATGTCTGAATTTATGAACAGAGTGCAAGTCTTTTTGACGGCGCCGAGATGTAGGTCTGCCCATTGCAGACTAGGAAGGAATGGCCGCCACTATGTTCGTTTAGCTTCCATACTTCATCGTTTTTTTGACGTCTTGGTTGGAGATCTTTGTGTCATGAGCGGCGGGTTGCCTTATGCACAGAATATTGTTGTACTCCGTATATTACACAGTTGACCAATGTTTCAACTGGTGATACAGGTACTTTATGATACGACTCCTCACTCCTCAGCAGAGCAGCGGCCACTCCGAGGATCTCATTGTTTTACCCTGCCAACGGATGCTTGTGCCTCCCAGATTTGTTCTCAAGTCAGGCTTGGAAACTGTTGTCCCCTTCTGCCGTCCTTTCCTACCTGCATATTGTGTGCCCATGCCTTCGAACTGTTTTCGGTGAACCTCGTCTAATGCAACAATCAGATTCCGTAGGTTTAGTGTGGACAGCTATCTAAACCTACTTTTTAGGTAATGAGAACCCCAAGTAAGCACATAGCGTATGTATGCATGCAGGGTAGGGTAGGTAGGCCGGTCCGTGTGTGTACCTTCACAGCCAAAAGTCATTTAGGCTGTAGACGAAGCAAGACTTGAGAACTCGAGGGGCATGTCCAGACCAGATGCCGGCAGTCTTCGCTAATGAACGATGCGTCGAAAGGGATCCGAGAAAGAAAACATGGGCGCCGTGGAGGTAAGACGTTGGGAGGTTTGCTTCCAGGCACTTCAACCTCATGCAAGCTGCCGAACCTGCAAGCTCGTCTGGTAGTGAGACATCCTAAGCTAGATCAGGCCAGTTTATCTGGCACCAGCTGGCGCCCAAGATGTGAAGGATGGTGAGCCTCAGAGTCAGACCCACGGCTTCTCGGCACGTCAGTGCTTCTTTCCGAAGGCCCGGGCCCACAGCCCCGTCACTGTGCGCACGAGATCACCCAGTCCGCACGCGACGGAACAGGCAGGGACTTCTTTTCAGATTCAGTCGGGTGGTATTCCGCTGCCAAAGTTCATCACGCCATGCGATTCGGGGCTAATTTGCTTAAGCTACATGTACTTCCGTGGCACTTTCCTGGCCCATTGGGGCCTCCTCAGAGAAGCCGTGGCCTCGAAGAGACCCGCAAACAGTGCGACTCAAAGTTGGGCGAGGAGTTCAAGTTACCGCTTGGTGCAGGTCTCGATGGCGATAAACTGGACACACATTGGACGCGAGGCGAGTCTTGCAAATTCGCTGTGCTTTGGTGCATTAAGTCGACGGCCGAGACAGCCGGTGATGTTTAATGTCAAGTCTTGAACCGGTTTGCCTTTCGAGTTTTCCATGGCTTGGCCACTGGCCTCACTCTCGTGGATTCTCTCTCTCACTCTCTGCATGTGGCTTGTGTCCTAGTCCTAGCACGCGGACGCAGCGGGTCATGACTTTTTGAGATTTTAGGCTTTGCGGGGAGGGGGGGCTGCCAGCGTATTGCGGGGACTGTGTTTAACGAACATGGGCTGGCTGAGTTGGATCGCTTTGCCAGCTCAGGCTTGGTGGCACAGTGGTCTCAGCATGTGCCTCACTTTATCAAGTTGTGTGCGCTTGTGCGAACTGGAGGCATCCCAGTTTGCGCCGCTTCCAGAGTTTCCCGCCAGGGTCTGAGGAGCCTCTGGGCCCAGGCATCACTCCAAGGCTGTGTCCAAGGCTTCGAGCAATCGAAGTTTCGCCTGCACTGTAACAGTAACGGCACAGAGGCTCTGCCAACGAGCCCGGCTGCCGCCATGAAGGCGCACCGCAGACCCGCGACAAAGTCTCAGACTCTTTCCTCGATGTGCTCCCAATCCGGCAGGCCGGCACCGCACTTCGCAGACCCTCGGACTTTGCTCTGAGCCCCCGCGCCGCACCCCTGATGGCACCGCTCCAACAACTCTTGGGAGCTCTTTTCATGAGTGCAGGCCTTGTCTCCCAGAGGGCTGGACACGTCACCAGCCCGGGCCCCCGTTTTCGACACCTTTGACAGAATGTATGCTTTCTTCCTTTCCTTCAGAGCTGCTTGGCAGCGACATCGGTTGGAGTGCAGAGTCAAGTCGGGCAATTGCACTGAGGGCTTCAGCAGTCGGCCCTCTGATCTGTCACCGGTGCAGCCCTCGGAGACGAAGGCATTTCTACACGATAGCATCGTAATCTTATTCGTTGTTAGGAACCTTGGCTATCAATGATCCTTTGCAGAGCGCGGGAAGGGGGTGATGCCAAAAGGAAATACTATTCGAGTGGTTTAGCCGTTCTTTTTGTGAGCGTTCTCGGGAAACAAGCCAATCCAAGGAATCTAAGGCAGGTGATTGGGGTTCTTTGTTGTATTTGCACATCCCTGCAGGTCGTAGGTGCCTTCGTATCCTTCGTAGGGAGAAAGACAAGGGCTCCAAAGTTCGAGTGACAGGAAAGCTGAGGCCCTCTTCGGGCGCTTAGCGGCGTAGCGGGGACAGGCCACACCACGAGAACCCTCGAAAAAGGATAGTCCTGACATTGGGAGCCTGCGGCAACATGCAGCAGCGCTGTCACTGCAGGGGACGGGCGCTGACTCGGTGTCAACCTCAGAGCGCCGATGTTTGCCGAGAGTTGCGGTGTCCCAGCGCTGTACCTGCGTGCAACGGCTTGCTGTGGCCGACATACCACGTGGCACAAGGACATCTGCAGCAGCAGTGACGTCTCGCGGCCCGGAAGCTCAGATGTGCCGGAAGCAGGTGGCATCGGGTGGCCAGAACGTTCTTCCGCGCTGCACGACCGCACAGCTGAGGGATGTACTCGGAAGCCCAGTCTCTGGAGGCTTAGTCGCCAGGGGCCCAAGGCAAGCACCAGACCACCAAGCAGCACAGCAGTGCAGCTGCATGTACGGTTGGTGACGACGGTGACGATTGGTATGGCTTTGTGTATTACTTTCTCCGTTTCCTTCTCCACGCTTGTCCGAGGACGACCCCTGGCTTGGCCTGGCTGTGCGGTCACCGCTCAGGTGGCCGGTGATTGTGACTACATGGATAGGCAACTCTTCTGGACTGCACTCGTTCTGGAGGAGCCCCGGCCGAGAGTTTCGGGATGTTGCGCGACCGTCTGGGTCTTATGGTAAAGACGCACGGAAAGCGCCGGATGCCCGCATGCCTAGGGCGCATTCTGGACCACTTCGCAGACCGGCGGCGTGGAAGAATTAGCTGCGAGTGTTCCATGTGCAGGGAAGACGTGATTCTCTCGCAAGAGTCCGTGTCGTTTGTCCTATCCTGTTTAGAGAGTTGTGGACAATCTCGGGGTGACTGCGATCTTGGCTCCTTTTCCGGGGCTTGTCCTTTCTGGACAGTTTTCATACCCTCTTGATGCTCGCTCCGAGCCTGGCGGATTCCACCTTTCCAAGTCTCGCTTGGCTTCGGGTGTGGTCAGGTTCCTACAATCAGCAGCCCCGAGTGGGCGGAGCAGGCACGGTTCTCGGTTCTCGCAGCCTTTGGTAGAGTTCCGCAGGTCGACTGCCACACACCTCAGGATGCCCAGTTGCGGAGGATATAACTTCACTTGCAGTTACACTACAATATACCCCAAAACCCTATGATAGTTAGCATAATAATATACCCCCCCATTTCCAGGCTGAGGGAGGCAAGCCTGTCCTGCCAGCTCCGCAGCTGCCAGCGTTGGAGGAGACTCGCCGGTTCTGCTTCAGTCGTCTCTCCTGTCTCCTCGGAAGGTACTCGTAAGGTGCTTTGAGAGGTCTTGGCGGCTTGGAGCAGGTTTCAAACGCCGCATCGGAGTAGCGCAGCAATAAGAACTTTCACAGTTTCCAGCTGGAGCAGCATGCGCTTGGCTGCACTCCAGAAGTTCCGATCACAAGCTCACCGAAAGGCTTGCGTGGTATCCGAAGGATTCGGAGGGCATGTCCTGATACAGTTGGGGAGTGAAGGGACAGTCGGCAGATTTAATTCTGAGAGCACAGGGTAGTACTGCGCGTCTTGGCATCTGGCCGAGTGCCCTTGTGTCGCACTTGTGCAGCCGTGCGGATCTCTCAGCCAGGAGCTTTTTGCCCAGAATATGCGGGAAGCGGGCTGAGCAACTGTCCTCTCTCAATGTGCACAGAGCGACGGCAGAGCCGGGGTATTTTGTTTCTGCAAGCCAAGGCCGCCAAGGCCTGGTTTGAATCTGGCTTCTTGTTGCTCTTTGCCTGTGTCGAGTCCTAGAGTAAATTCTCCCGGCTCAGGAGCAGAAAAGAGAGGAGCGCAAGCTCCGTCAGCAGCGACGAGAGCCGCGGCAGCAGATGCAGAGGCCAGGCAGCCGTGTGGTAGTGGCATAGCCTGGAAAGTGCGGGCTGTGATCGAGTCGTCGAGCCTAGAGTCCTAGAGATGTCAAGAGTCTAAAGTGGAAAGTGCGGGAGCTCGAGGACAATCCACCCATCCTTCGAGGAGGTCCCCAACGGACTCTGTGGAGTCTTGGTGGAGATTTGGTGTGTAACAAGCGGCTGACCTGGCGTCTCGTCGTTGAGCTGACGCTAACACGAGTTTGCAGCGAGGCTTCGGCCCGAACCCTGACGATGACGACTACTTCTACGGCAAGCACGTGAGTCTGTGAGTCGTGGAGCTGTGCATCCATGGTTCTCGAAGCTTGCAACCTTGCCACTACATGAACAACACCTGCTTCGACCCAGCTTCGTGAACGAACGTGTTAATGCCTGGTGCAGCTCTTCGGACATGAAGGCGCATAAGAGTACCAAAGAATCGCAAGACATCAGTGCCATCGTCCATGAGAAGCTCTCTTTAAGACCTGGGTATTCTTGAAGTTGTGGTGAAACGATGAAAGTATGCAGCTCCATTCAAGAAAGGTTGCAGTCGAAGGAAGAAGAGCTGTTCGCAGATCTAAGAGCGGCCCGTGTAACATGCAGCCGCTGGAACGTCTCGTGGACCCTGAAGCTTTATAGTCAATCCGTCAGGGAGCATCAAGGACCTTTGTTGAGTCGTTAAAGGCTGGCAAAGGCATAGCAGATGTGGTGCTGCTTCGTAGGACTGGCAAGGCGGGAGGGATTCTGTGTTCCATCGGTTGAGCATGCTGGCTCCTAGGAGGCCGCGTAGTCAATGACTCCCCCAAAGTCAGCTGAGCGGGAAAACCACGGACGGAACAACAAGCCTGTCCTTTCTCCCTATGACATGAGGGGGCCAGTGGCTTGGTAGGTCCTGTTTGCACCTGCCCACCTCGCCATGCTCGACTCGATTTTGTTGCCGTTGGCTCTGAGCTTGCGCCCACCTTCCGTTGGGACGCCTTTACCATGAGTGGCTTGTCGGAAATTGGCATCCGATTCGTTCAGCCGGCAGACGAGGAGCAGCTTGTAAGCCACACGACAGCCTGCCATTGAAGTCTGATCATGAAGCTCTTTCAATGTAGGTTGTGTCGGTTGTGTCACAAGAAGATCTCAGTGCCAACTTGCCTATCTGCCAGAGTTGCACTAGCACCGTCCCCAGCTTGTTGGTGCCGTAAGTGCAGCGAGGTTCCACCGTTATGGCCGCCCACTCAGCAGGGAATTGTTCCAGTCACTGGGCTCCGGTCAGATTTGCCTGCGCTTCATGGCTCGGATCAGACGCCATCGCAGGATGGCCCGGAGTGGCCTTTGGATCACTTCCGACAGGCTGGGAGTGCTGCCGTCCGGAACCGCATCGTGGGGCAAGATGCCTTGCTCTCTTGCAGGCATATGAGAAAGCGCTTAGCGAGCGAAGTGGCCGAAACATGGCAGTGGTCTTTCTGGCACGCTTACTTTGCCGAGATTTGCAGAGCCTATGGAGTACAAGCCCACCTGACCGCTAATCGCGGACAACCGATTGCCGCCATTTATGCGTAGGGCATATGCCTTATGCGCTTCTTCGACAGTGTACTAGAGATTGTAGTTGCTTCTCAGCACGAACCTGGCTCGATGCTGAAACCTTTCTTGCCATGACGGGTCGAGGGAGAAACGGGAAATTCGAAGGATCAACACCATCAAAGCTGATGACTGATGGGTGTGAGTCCCCTGTTGTCGGCCAGCTCGTCTTCCCTGGCGACTTCAGCCCGGTGCACGTGGGACATCTTTTGATGGTGCAGCAGGCCTTATTGCGTCAGGATGCGTCATCTCAGAGTTAGCTTGTTGTCTAATCGACGATCGCATGCAGGCCTCTAGTCTACGTCGTTAGGCAAGGTTTTCGATCCTTGTATCACGGCATGGCTTGGTCGAGTCGACTGAGGCAGTCAAGTCGCAACAGCTGCCATCGTCCTGCATCCTAGAGATCCTGGCATGGTATCTCACCGTATCCCTCCATCCTCTATCATCTCCCTCTGTCCCTCCCGCTCGTCGCTCTGTCCGACTCACGCCCTAGTCTCAGGCAAGGGCCGGCTGTGCCCGTTCTGTGAGTCTGTGGCTCCGTGACATCCCGTGCCTGGTGGCTGTTGGCTCAAAGGAAGGACACCCTCTGCTTTGGAGTAAAGTTGTTGCCTGGCGACATACGCTTGCTCGTGTGTCTTGTTACAGTTTGTTCCAGATGCACAGCGAGGAATTTGCACGTTCCAAGGTTGTTTGGTGCGGCGCCTTTTGGCCACCGAGCAACCTCGCCGGCGGTGCACAGGCGCACAGCCTTGCAATCGCTCTGTCGCTAAGCCCTGCTCCATTGCGAATTGCTTTGGCCTCGACATTCTCTTCCCAGAAAGCCGGAACGACTCTCCTCTTCAGGACATCGAGGCGGGAGAAAAGATGATCCGAACGGGGTGGTCACGGCTTACAACCGGATGGGGCACAACCACTTCTGCAGCATCTTGGCAAGCAAAGACTGGGCCCAATCTGGAGTTACGTAGACGGCTCAAAAATCGGCAAACTGCTAGTGCGCAGACTGTCTACGAGAGCCGTGACAAAAGCTGAGGAGAGCGCAGCCATAGAACAGCTCATCAGTACCCATCGGGCGCTTCTCCTAGACGGAGGCCACGGCGACACTGTCGTGTTGGCCTACCGTTTGCAGCCAAGATATCCGGTACACTCAATGGAACGTTCCGCATAGTCGTCCAGCATCGGTTTGTGCATCCCCTCACGGGCGTGCCCTTGGCAGGACGTGCCGAGGTGGGTAGCGAAGCTGGCTACAGCACCTTTCCCGCAACTAGCCAATTCTGCCGCCGAAAACCGGCAACTTACTCGGGAGATCTCTCTCGCAGAGCAGCTTCAGTGCGAAACATGAAGCTGGTAGCATGTGAGTGATCGGATGGAGAAGCCCGTCTCGTGAGCTAAGGTGCCTGCGCCATCTTTCTAAGTGCGGTAGAGACTACGGCCAAGACGTTTGGACTTGAGGCGGCCTGCCCTGACTCTGTGATTATCATGCCTGATCAGATCTTTTGTCGCAGCTCCCATCGCAAGAAAGCCTCGAAGTGGCAGACTGAACACGTGCAAGTTGACCGAGTCGAGGCTGCTCCGCGTGCCTACCGCAAAAGGTTCTCGGCGAACTACCGTGCCCTGGTTGAGTGCAGGGTATGGGATGCTAACCACCAACACCAAACCTCGGGCTTTGTGTTTCCTGCCCTTGGCCATGGGCTGCTCGCACGGCTCAGTTGGACTTGAAATGCGACTCTGAGTGTGGATGCTTCGTTGTACAGACGTCGTACATGTGGAGCGATGTCTTTAAGAGTTCCTTGGATGGACTTCAGGTGCACTCTTCCCAGACGACGCACGGCATTACCGAGTGGACGTACTTGAGGTTCCAAAGATGCGATTTTTGCTTAGCACACCCTGCTACACGTTGTAGAATTCATCATGCCTTGACACGAAATGCCTTGGCTTCGAAAGGCTAGCGCAGACCAGCATTCTGCGATTTGGGTCAACGGGGACAAGTTCGAACTGAGCCCAGAGGCACAAGAAACTGCCCAGCACTAGGGTTCACTGGCGCTGCAGTTCGCTGAGCATAGGCGATTTGCCACGCCGAAGCTTTGCAAAAGGCGCGGGGCCTGAAGAAGACCGGGAAAACACAAAATGTCATGGACACCGGGAAGCTTGCGAGAGCGCCCTGTGCAGGCGTGGGCAGAATTGTCCCAACTCGTCGAGTCCTGCGCCGGTCCCGACGGAAACACTGCCAGACATCCGGTGCCCTTGCTGCAACTTCCGGATGTGGAGTTGAACTTCGGACATGAGACTTCGTGAAGCCTTTCTCGGCCAAGGCGCGATCGGATCTTTGTACAGTCCTGGACGCTCTGGATGCGGCCTGGGCAGGCTTCGAACACAAGTGCCTAAGCAGCGTGTAGAAAGCAAGTGATGCATCTTGAGATTCATGCTGAACTCATTGGAAGTTGAGGTTTTTGCCTTCCTGTCTGCGCTCTGTTGTGAGAGTGTGCAGCCGTGGGCTGCTGTAGCCCAGGTATATTGCTGAGTTGATTGACATCGAAGAGCAGGCTCGAAGGCTCATCATCAAGGCCTGGTGCTTTCGGAGAGTCATGGAGAGTCCTTGAGCTCCCGGATGCTACACTGAGCTGGGATCTGGGGACAAGGCTGTGGAGCTGGAGGCCCGACTATCTATGCTGGAGGACTGCAGTCGACAAGGGATCGTGAGCAACGCATGATTCGTGGAATCAGGAGAGGTGCTGTCGATGCAATACTTCGCAAGTCTTCGCACATGAAGTGTCATGGATACTTGCACGGTGCCCGTGCTTCGCCTCCGAATGCCCGCAAGGAAAATGTGGGCAAGGGCAAGGAAAGTCAGGATGTGCAGAGAGCGCTAGTGCCACTTGGAGCTATCACAGAACGAGTTCTAGGTCCTAGGTTCGCTTCATTTTTGTGGCTGCGGCTCGGAGATGCTGCATTGTTCTTGGTCGTTCACAAACTGTGCTTCGGTGGTCCAGATGACCGAGCAAACAACAGCTTACCATGCCAGTCTCTAGGACTCCGTCACACCATTAAAGGGCGGAAACGATGAGACATATAAGCGGCTTTCGGCTCCGAGGCAAGGGATTGCGCATCTCAACTCCGTTGCCAATTTCCGGCGCAAGGGTCGTGATGACTTGGGTGCCTTGACAATGCTGAAGTGGAGCCTTGATGCGCGAAGCTCAAAGTTCCAGTTCGATGTCTTTGCCCAGGCTATGACATTTTGGAGTCTGCCGAGCACCGAGCTTTCTGCCGGAGTTAGGCCCTGCAGCCTTCAAAGGCCTCAGTGCCCATTGCATTTCCCTGAAAGGGCAGCCGGTGTCCTGGCTTAGGCAGCCGCAGTCCTCAGCAGATTCAGTCTCACCAGCACCTTGGATGCACCGAGATCGGGATCTTGGGATCTTCTTCTTGAGGGAACCGACCATTTCATTGCTGCAGATTCAGGTAAAGATATCGTGGCAGCTGGCGAGGGCAAGGGCTTCGCAGCAGCTGCCATCCAAGATGCAGTGTCAAGAAGTGCCGGCGTGTCCATGGCAGTGGCGCCTTGCCTGAGATGCTGCATCTGCGTTTGCTGTCAAAAGAGCAACAGAGAGCACAGCCGGACGAGCACCAGGATGTGGTTGGCTCCTTTGAAGCGATGCGCCGGCCGGGGCCTTTCCACAAAGAGAGAGCATGCGATGCGCTGCGTGCGCGGATGGGAGGTATCTGCGAGAGGTGAAGAAGTGCCTCGAGCGAGTGGACCCGCCGGAGCCTCGAAGTTTCGCAGTGTTTGCGGCCTCGGTCCCGTCCTGGGCCAGCGCTTTTAAGTGCGGTCCTTCAGAGGGGTTCAGGGCTTCGCTTGTGCATTCTGCCCATTTCTGTCCTCTCGCCACGAAACTGCTCCGTCGGTGGAATCTGCAAATTCCAATCCTGCAGTCTTCCCACATTTCCCACCAGAAGGTAAAGGCGGCAAAAGGGAAAGCTAGTGTCAGGAAGCAGGATTGTGGCATAGCAGTCGAGACCTTCACCGCCTGAGGCATCTTTGCAACAATGTGGGGCTCGTCGCAAGGCCTTTCGCTTAGCGACTGCACACATCGTTAGCGTGTTCGGAGGATGTGCAATATGCCACTGAGGCTCGTGGACTGGGAGGACCGTCACTTGGGGCAGTTCACACATGTGCCATGGTTCACAGACGGAGAGCCAGGAGAGCTGGGAGATCGGTTCTCGGTACGTCCGGCAAACGGTGCTGTTTGACGCGAACAACGACGTCGCTGCTCGGACGCTGTGGAAGTGCCGGCTGCCTGCGTTGCGGCGGCAGAGATCTGCAAGAGTCAAGAGAACCTGACCAGGGTCCCATCCCAGACCATGCATAGTGGCATGTCACTGCGTTTAACTTCGCGGTAGTATGAGGTGGCACCACTGCTGCTACTTCTACTTCTACTCCTACTCTTACTCCTCCTTCTCCTACTCCTCTTGCTATTCCTACTACTACTACTACTACTACTACTACTCCTACTCCTCGTATTCCAAATGCTGCTCCACCTCCTCCTCTTCCTCCTCCTCCTACTACTACTACTACTCCTCCTATTCCAATTGCTGCTCCTCCTCCTCCTACTACTACTGCGCTGCTACCACCATCCCTACACTCCTCCCAATACGCTTGCCACATGCACATTGGGCAGGCGGCTCCCTATCTGTGACAGCGGGCCGATCGTACTCGCTACCTCCCTCCTTCCCTCCCTCTCTACCTACCTGCCCACCTACCGCCCGGGTCGTCGGTTCTGGCAGTAAGTTGGATTTACTTAATCTTATTCTCGAAGCTGGCAATGGAAGAGGCTATGGTAATGCCGACCAGCAATCATCCCAAACACATGTCACCCTCAGGGCGATGTTTTGCCCGACAGTTCTGCTGAACAAAGTTATAGGTCTTTTGCCCGTGATTCTTGGTTTCCGCATTTTCACACCTAGCGCATCCAAGGTTGCCGAATTTCGCGTTGCCCAGAGATTGGCCCCAGCATTCACGAACATGTGCAGCTTGGCTAGCTTGGCTTGCGCATGCAAGTGCCGTGTCTGTGGTGCTGCTGCGCTGAACCTGTATGGAATCGAGCAGCGCTCATCATTCCGCGCTGTCTGTTCGTGCCGAGCTGAGCGATCCTTTCGCAAAATCCTTCAGGCACGGACTGCGACGTGGAGCTTTTCTTAGTCCTTCCCAGGCTGGGATCTTGAGCATCCTGGGCAGTTCAAGAAGTTGGGGCTTGGGATATGAGGGGCCTTTCAGGAGGCTTTTCGGAAGGGCAGTGCTTCGACGTCGTTCCGAGTTCGGGCCTTCCCTGTCTTCTCGAATCTGGCAGGGAGGTTGCGAGCCTCGCTAGGGCCGCTAGGGTCTAGCCACGAGAGCTAGCGACCGAAGCCTGTGAAATGCATGGTGAACATCGGAGACTTCTAATTTTGCCAGGATGGTCATTCTGTGCTGCTTGGAGAAGCCGGGCGAACCACGTGCAGGCAGCGCGGAGGGTCCGACAACACATCTCGCCTGGGACCTCACCGCAGCCTCACCTTTGCTCAAAATTCGAGGTCGATTGTGTGTGTGTGTGTGTGTATGTGTGTGCCTAAGCAAGTGGGACAGCTGGAGTTGAAGGCTTGGGATACGAGTCCGTCATGCACGTGGCCTATATTATTACTCGTGCACAGCATCCAGAAAAGAGATGCTCTAAAGCTACGGTGTCACCTCAACATGTCCGGCATGTTCTGATTGTGGGAAGGACTCTTGAGGAGTTTGCTGTCGCGGCCTCGACATCTAGAGTGCTTGTTCTGCCAGGTTGCGAGTAGCGGATTCCATCGGAATCGCCTTGCCCTTGGGTTTGCAAGGCCGCACCGCTTCCCAGAGTCGGCTGCGAAAGGCTGGGCCCTGGAGAACGCTCCGACTTTGAATTCTCTGCTATCGTCTCAGAGAATGGGAGGCTTGGAGGTGGACCCCGAGATGGGACTTTTGCTCACGCAGTTTAGCCAGGCAGGCCGTCTTTTCTCGTGAAGGGCCGCGAAGTCACTGAAGTCATTTGTGCTCGGAAAGCTGGGTTTCACACCTGCCTACAGAGAAGCGCCCAAGCCTCTTCTGCTTGCGAGCTGTTTGGCTCTCAGCAGACTAAGATAAGCCGGGGACACAAACCAAAGAAAACCAAAGAGCACAAAGTCCCCTGGCAAATACCTAGAGTCCACGTAAAACAGAACAGTTATAAAGAGAGACGCCATCGACATGTCATCGAGCTTCCGAGACGTGATCGAGCAGCTCACCCAGTTAAGCAGCGAAGCTTGGCTCTGGAGTGGGGGATCTGCAGCTTCATCTCTGGGTCGCAGGACATTCGCAGGCATGGCAGCTCAACAAACGAGGCTAGGCATAGCATGCCCAGCGGGGTGCCTGTGGAACTGGAAGACGCAAGGTGCAAACACCGAGATCGGAATGCAGCATTTCGGATCTGAATGTCCATGTGGGCATCGGGCCATGCTGACTCAGGAGTTTGAGCGGCAAGCTGCGAAGCTTCAGCAGCTGTCACTGGAGAATGAGCAGCTGAGAGATGCTTGGCTTGAAGAATTGTCGAACGGCCAGCCTCGAGTGAACATGTGCTTCTAGCTGAGAGTATTGAGAGTCTTGCACAGTCTCCGGCAAAGGAGATTGCAGAAGGGCATGCAGACGCCGGAAACAGGACAGGCTCCAGCTTTCGAGCGGAGCCTTCTGCTGCTGGGCAGAATCTGGCGGATTTGGGATCCACATTCCTGGGAGGGACAGGAGAGCCGGAATCGGCAGAAAAGAAGCCCACTTGCCACTTGCGATGAACCGTGTCACGGCACAGGTTCGACGGTCAGTCAAGGCAACTTGACTCGACTTCGTTGAGACTGTTTAAGATGGTAAGCGTAACGCGTCCCGCTTTCCAGGTAGGTCAGGTAGGTGTTATGCGGATGTCGACACGTGGCTGAGGTGCCTCCGACAAAGCGTGCTGCCACCGATCATTCTTTAGAGGACGCTGGTTGCGATCAGGTGGCTTGGCAGCGGGCTTTGTGGCATGCTTGAGGGCCAACTTGAGGGTGTGCGGCCTCTGTGCAATAGTGTCACCATTTAAAGTTGTACACGCGCTCCGCACTCCAGATGCGGAGCTGCAAAAGGAGCACGACAGTACACTCAGCTCGCTTCGAAAGGTGCGAAGGAATATCTCCGGGCCGCGCCTGGCTGCATCCAGCCACATGCCCCCGCCTCCTGCAGCCTGACCTGGAAATTGGTAGCGTTGTTGCTTCGTCCCTGATCTAATTTTTTGATGGGATTCCTGTTCGTCTTCCACCTGCCAGCCTCGTGAGTTCACGCACGTTCCCTCTAGAAGGCGGCTTGATCGCAGACACCCAAGACAGCCTCCAAAAAAGCATCATGTCCACTCCAGCACAACAAGGAGTCGTGGAGTCCAAAGTGCTGTTTACATCGACATTCGGTTGCGTGCCGATTCCGTTGGTTCGTGAAGGTGCGAACAGCATATGTCTTCTTTTCGCTGGCGTCTTCTGTCAACCTGTCTCGGCTGCTTGCCCATCTTCACCGAGGCGGCATGTGGAACTGCGTCTTCTTTCTGTGCTCGTCTTTACTTGAAGGTATCAGTTGCAGACCCCATCTGAGGGACGCACTGACATTCGCTGACCCTCATAGGTGTCAACCGTGCTTTCAATGTCAGTCACGATGCCTTAGTCAAGGCAACCCTGGTGCTCAAGATGGTGTTGAGTTGCTTCATCCCAGAGTGGAAACGGAAGTCTGGGTTTCAGAGATCGTAAGTAGGTGAACAGTAGAACTTCGCCAAACAGAATGCTGAACATCACGAGAGCCAGCAAGCTCATCTCAACCTCCCGCTCTGTTTTCACATGGTCTGTAAGCACTTAGGTGCAGGAGGGTGCGAGCAGCTAGCACTTGCTGAGGCCGAGGAAGCAAGCTCTTTGAATAAGTCTGATCCCTCGACATCCGTGGGCAGCAGTTTCGTAGAGGCCGGATGCCATCTTTCTCGCGTCATGTTCAGAACGGCATGTGTCCGCGGGCGAGTTCCCCTTGTTAGCTGCCTGGACCAAGACAAGAATCTTGCTTTTGAACTTGCCGGAGCATCTCAGCAGGTGCAAGAGCTGACCAAACTGTACACGCAGTCCTGGGAAACTTCTGGCCAGCAGCTTCGAACATCAAAGTCGAGAGCATGGGCTTCTTGTCTGCATACTCTAACATGCACTGCCAACTAAGACTTGCTGTAGCTGACGATTCGTGAGAATGAGGTTGGGAGATCGCAGGTGTCGAAGTTGGTCAAGGAGGAGAAGATAGGGTTCATGACGCTTGGAATGAGAGCCAGGTGCTGCTCAAGGCTTGGATGCCGTCAAAGCGCCCTGAGTCCTTGCTGCCAAGGATCATGCGTGCAGGGAAAACCAAGGAGTTCTCTCAGGGGAAGCCGTGGCAACTTGGATAGCTCCATGCAGTGAGACATCAGTGGAGTCCATAAATAGTCCATAAATGAAGACCGATGGGTGATCAACACAAGCACCGTGGTAAGGATCATGAAATGTGCGTCAGGATGTTTCCTCAGGTACGTCATCAATCCAGACAGCAACTGGTTTGGCACGGGTTGGCAGTGTATTACCTGCGCGGCATTGATCTTCGTGGCGCTCGTCACCCCACTTCAGATTGGCTTCTTCCAGGTACACGTGACATGTGTTTGTGGTAGTGCTAGAAGGGTCTGCTGCGGCATTATAGAAGTCTCACAGGTACAATGGGACTTCTCGCTGGTGGTTAGTATTCTGGTGGCCCCCTGCCAGCTCAAGACAGGTTTTGTCATTCTGTGAGTGGACATGAGTGGAAACTAAAGAATGGTGTGCTTTTCCTGGCAAGGACACCGTCTTCCTGTTCGACTCCATACTTCAGTTCTTCACGTCTTACCGGCGGTTGACTGCTCGCGGCATGCAGTGGGAAGTCCGTCTCCCCAAGAATCTCGGGCGGTTTCAGAGTTCGGCCGCGCGCAGTTCGAGTTATGTAGGGTGCCGGGTAGACGCGACTCAACGAACCCAAAGCGTAAGAGCAGAAAGAATTTAGAGATACAGAGACGGCTCGAATGTCGGTTGCAGATTGGGCGGTCCAATGTCAACCTCATATTTAGAATGCGCGGCGCAACTGTAAAATCCAATTCCCAGAGCGTAATAGAATCCCTCCCCCGTATTTGCAGAATCCAACGGCCGGAAAAATGTAGCCAGAATCTTGCTTATTATATAGAGTGAAGTTTTTGTTGGAATGAAAGCTGCCTTTATTCTTCCAGCCTCAAAAGAAATCACAGGACAAGGATGCGACATGATATATCTCAACCCCAGCATTTGTTGGAGTTTTCATGTAGAATCCCTGCGTTTCTTGCTTAGGCCTTGACGGACCACGCACTTTTGTATCGCTGCAGCTGAGGATAGCACTCAATTACTTGAAGACGTGGTTCGTACTTGATGTGATAACCCTTGTTCCCTTCGACATTCTCGGCCCCTCGTCTGCGTTCAGCAAATTCCGAGGTCATGTGCAGTCATGGCTACACAGTCCGGAACACTGAATAGGGTTGGTCGGACCAAACCAGATGACCTAATTTGCTATTAGTAGAAGAGCCAGCGATGTACGTACGAGCAGTTTGGCAGAAAGAAGCAGAAAGCTTGAGCACAGTGGGGGCCGACCTCAGTGATGATCTGCGTGGTAGCCGTAGCCCCAGTAGCAACCGTACTAGGAAACCTTCATTGACCAGGTCTGACCATGGGCAATGAGGGCGTCGCGTCCTGGAAATCCATCCGCGCTCTGCGCGTGCTCCGCTTGCTGAAGCTCTTCCGGCTCCTGAAGACGTCCAGGCAGCGTGCCGCTTCATGCCACTTCCGAAGATACTCGTAGGTCGTAGGGCAGAATAGTTTAACACAGGGTGAACAGAGGCTTGGGGATTTCGGGTTTAGGGTTTATAGGACAGGATTTATCGGGTTTCAGGTTTACGGGGTTAAAGCAAGACGGGGTGTAATGACGGTCTTTGATGAGTACTCGTATGACGTATACTTCATTTACTGTATGTAGTACACTTATCTTGGCTTCCACTTTTCATTTATCAGGATCATGCACCGCTTCGAGATTCCCTACTCTATACCTTACCAGAGACTTGGCAGAAAGCTTGCTGCAGATGTGCCGAGGAAGTGTCAACACATGTGCCTGGCACCGGCAACTTAGGCACATTGCACTTTTCCGATTCCTTGTTATTCTCCTCCTCATGGTCCACTGGCAGTCGTGCGTTTGGGCCATGACGCTGCAGCTGGTTGCCTTGGCTCCAAGCTTTCGTGCCAGAGCCGGGGGATGCTGTTACTATAGTATTACTATAGTAGAAGGTTAGAGGGTCTCAGCTTCTATCATCTCACCCCGTCGCATCTCCCCCCAAGGTGCCCAACTCGTCTGTGGTTTTGTTCTAGGGCTCTCTGCAGCTACGCCGGCTTGCTGACCGTGCATGGAATGCAATGCCGATCAGGTTGATGGAGACCAGCCGCGATGGCTCGATGATATCGAGGCCACAGATCTGCTTTTCGGATCTGACCGGGACTCAGCCCTGACCAAGTACATCGCGTCCTTCTATTTCTCCGCATACACCATGACTTCCGTCGGCTATGGCGATCTGGGTCCCAAAAATATTGTGGAACGCCTGATTTGCATCTTCATGGTGATGTCGTCTGGCCTCTGCTGGGCATACGTCTTGGGCGAGGTGTGTGCAATCGTGGCAGACTTTAATGCAGAGAGCCAGATCTTCCGGAAGAAGATGCACCATCTGAACAGGACTGGGCCAGTGGCCTTCCATGAGGGCTTGGGTTTCTGTTGGTTTGCGCAGGTTTTTGGACCCCCTCTCCGCCGGAGAAACACAGAAGCCTGGGGGTGAGCGGAGACAGTCGCAGGTCTTGTTCCCACCTGAGCCAAATGCGAGGACCGGCTACAGCAGGAGAGTGCCCGAA